TGGCAGCAAAAGGGTGGCTGGCTCCAGAGGTCTCCAGGTTTCCAGGCCCCACCTGGAGGTTGGCATCTGTGCCACAAGGCAGCCTTGCTTAGGGCGCAGAAACACCTTGAGCCAGCCCTGTGTGAACCACACGTGAATTGGCAACAGACGCCAGCACCGGTCAGGGAGGGTGCTGGGAGCTCGAATCCCAGGGACATAGGCCTGATTGGAAGCCAGGCCATGGCGCCCAGGGAAAAGGGAGAAGGGACAGGCAGTTGGTTCCCTCTAAGCTGAGTGAGTGTGAGCTAGCTCAGAGTTTTTTTAGCCTCCGGCTCACACACTTTTGTCTTCGCTCAGGAAGGATGTGGCTCCAAAGCACACTGATTTCTGCAGGAGGCAAACCGCTCGCTCGTAACTTTAAGGCCGGCAGCTCACAAAGTAGAATCTTTGCTCACAAGACTCCACAGCTCAGAGGGAGCATTGCGGGGTGGGCAGCCCTGAGTCTTGGTGGCTCGAGGCATAAATTATTTCCCTCAACATTCATAATTCAAGGCCAGGTTCTGGAAACAGCTCAGGCTTCCCGTGGAAGGGAGGGGAAAACGGGGGTGGTGGTGTTGCCTTGGTAATATCTAGGGCAGAAGGAGGTGCGGATGGGGGACAGCCTGGCCTTGGAGTAGAGGGAGGGAAACTGGAACGGCCAGCTCTAGGGGAATTTCAAAAGAGGGAGGGGAAACAGAAGAGCCAGGCCAGGGGGAGGAGGGAAACGGGAACAGCCAGAGTCAGGCTGGGAGAGGGAGGGAGCCAGCCTCCAGTTGCCAGCCTCCAGGTGGGGCCTGGAGACCTCCTGAAATTACGATTGATTACAGAGATCAGTTCCCCTGGAGAAAATGGCTGCTTTGGAAGGGTGACTCTGTGGCACCGTGCCCTGCTGAGTTCCCTCCCCAAATCCTGCCTTCCCCAGGCTCCACTGCCAATCCCCCAGGAACTTCCCAGGCCAGAGGTGGCAAGCCTAACCCCTCCTCCGGACAGGCAGCCTCCCACCTGGGTAGCAGGTCTTCAGATCCCAGCAGGGCACGTCCTCCATCCGGCACGAGGAGCAGTTGACCACTGGAGCGGAGCCGTCTGCAAACAGCAATGGGGGGTGCCGTCAAATGCGCCCGATAGAATGGGGGGGCGGCGGAGCAAGGCTATTTCTTCCTAAGGAAATAGACCCGTCGTTGCACGATCACACCTCCCTTTGGAGCTGCGGGTGCAGCCTGTCCGTGTGATCAGACGCAACTGTGGGTGAGTCGGGGTTTTGGGGGGTTTTTTGCCTTTTGTTTCCCATGGTGAGACCTCATTTGGAGTACTGTGTGCAGTTCTGGTCACCACACCTTAAAAAGGATATTATCGCTTTGGGAAAAGTGCAGAAAAGGGCAACTCGAATGATAAAAGGGTTGGAACACTTTCCCTAAAAGGAAAGGTTAAGGCGCTTAGGGCTCTTTAGCTTGGAGAAACGACGACTGAGGGGTGACATGATCGAGGTTTACAAGATTATGCATGGGAAAGAGCAGGTAGAGAAAGAGGTACTTTTCTCCCTTTCTCACAATAGAAGAACTCGTGGGCACACCATGAAATTGTTGAGCGGCCGGGTTAGAACGGATAAAAGGAAGTACTTCTTCACCCAAAGAGTGATTCACACATGGAATTCACTGCCACAGGAAGTGGTGGCGGCTACAAGCATGGACGGCTTCAAAAGGGAATTAGATAAGCATATGGAGCAGAGGTCCATTAGTGGCTATGGGGCAAGTGATGCTCTGTCTTCTTGGTGCTTGGGGGGGGGGTCAACAGTGGAAGGGCTTCTAATGTCCTGGCCTTGCTGGTGGACCTCCTGATGGCACCTGGTATTTCTGGCCACTGTGTGATACAGAGTGTTGGACTGGATGGGCCTTTGGCCTGATCCAACATTGGCGTCTCTTATGTTCGTATGTTCATGCGCTTAAACGAGGAACTGATTAATCGCATCTCCGCACTGAGGGCTCCCTATGGACTGTGCGATGATGCGCATACTGAGAGGGGGGGGGAACA